CATATCACCGCATTTGAGGACAATACGGTCGACCGGCTAATAATAGCACATGAAAGTGTAAAACAAGTTCTTTCCTATTGGTGGCGCTCTGACTGTGAATGGATGTTGGCATATGGGTTTCATCTGAGGGGACTGTGATCAAGTATGTAAAGTTTAAGGCAGATTGGAGCATCTACAGGGTCGTTAGACACCCTTCCTTTTTGATGGTGAATCATCACAATTCAGAGGGCCGCCACGGCCACGCATTTTAATAACTTTTAATCACCAACCCCTGTTGTATGTGCTGGCCAAATTTGAGGCGTGTAGGAGTTAACCGCGAGGAGGAGTTCGCTCTCAAAAATGACAAAAATCACCAAAAATTGCACAGTTATTTCAAAATGGCGGACTTCCTGTTGAGTTTATGGTATGGGTCCAAGAGGCTTTTTTGTGCGTCCCGATGTGTTACATATGCCTACCAATTTTTGTAAACGTCGGTTAAACGTCCTGCGGGGGCTAATGGATAAATTGCTACAGGGGGCACTATAGGCACACATGGTCTGTCGTTGAGCCGATAGTGACTCGTATGCCAATTTTGGTGAGTCAGTCAGCATTCTAAAGCTGTCAAAAAGTCATTTCCGTCTCAAAGTAACTATGTGTCACCATGGCAACACTGTTGCTTGAAAATGCAAAAGCTTCGCACTGTAGCATCTTTAAAGTGGGAAGACTTAGCTGACCAATTTTAAGAATGATATCACAAAGTTTGAAGCAATGGCATATGGAAGTATAATGCCTCAAACAGCCTGTTACCAATAGGTGGCACTATAACTGTGAGTGGATATTGGCATATGGATGTGATCAGGACAACAGTCTGATCAAACATGGAAAGTTTGAGGCAGAATGGAACATGTACAGGGTAGTTACACAGTACTTCCTCTTTTATGGTGAAGGATTAAAAATAGGCGGGGAAGGAGCCTGAGCTGGTGCGGGAGGTGGAGCGCTACCGGCTAGATATAATTGGGCTCACCTCCACGCACAGCAAGGGCTCCAGAACTATTCTCCTGGAAAGGGGTTGGACACTCTCCTTTTCCGGAGTTGCTCACGGTGAGAGGCGCCGGGTGAGTGTGGGGATACTCACAAGCCCCTGGCTGAGCGCTGCCTTGTTGGAGTTCTCCCCAGAGAACAAGAGGGTCGCCTCTCTGCGACTGCATGTTGCAGAGGGGAAAACTCTGACTGTTGTGTGTGCTTATGCACTGAACAGCAGTTCAGAGTATTCGGCCTTCTTGGAGTCACTGGGTGGTGTCCTGGAAGGGGTGCCGCCTGGGGACTCCATAGTTTTCCTGGGGGACTTCAATGCTCACGTGGGCAATGACTGTGAAACCTGGAGGGGCGTGATTGGGAGAAACGGCCTGCCTGATCTGAACCCGAGCGGTGTTTTGTTTTTGGACTTCTGTGCTAGCCACGGATTGGCCATAACAAACACCA